TTTTTTTTTTTTTTTGACACGTTTCACAGTATATTCCCCCTTCTCATGACATTATTTCATGATGATCTTTTTGTCTCTCTCTTTTGAGAGTGGGTACTTGCAAGCCTTGACCTATACAGGCTTTAATTCTATTTTGCTTTAGCTTACCATCATGTAGATTTTTTTTCCTGATTTTATGTCATTTGCATCTCTGTTAAACCTATCCATTTTATCCTATAGCTAGTTTTTTTTAGCTGCATTTTACCCTATTAACACTCCAACAGTTAATGTTTACCTTCCACCTCCTTTCTTTGATGTTCCACTTATATGCAGGGATTTTCATGGGATACCTCCTTCTACTTCCCTCCATATTGGGGTGTTTCTCATCTTCAGTTTGTTCCCTCCACATATGGCTTCTTTGCTTTTAGGATCTTCTAGGGTGTAACACTGCTGTTTATTTACCATCCACTGCTAATAGGGTCGTACGGTTAGTTCTTTTTCTCCACTGGTCTATTTTTTGGGGCTTCTCCTGTGCACTTAGCATCACGTGGGATATTTGCAATGCTACATTTAATTTTTTAAGTTGCTTTTTTGTTTGAGATATTATCATCTTTATTCATTTTATATGTTTGGCACCTGCCCATCCTTTATTTGTCTTACCTACAGGTTTTCTTCATTCATCTTGTTTGCTTGATGCTGATTGGGGTTCTGGATCAATTGGTCCCACCTCAGTAACTTCTTGGGTCTTCCTTTGTTTAATATGTAGTCTTTAAGCACATTTGGGTAAGCTGTTTCTACTTGACTGACAATGCCCACAGTGCACGTTATTATCTTCAGTTTTTACACCACCTGATTGTGTAACAGTTTCGTGCCTTGACCTTTGGACTTGTTTTGGATCTATACGTCTTTTGTGGTCTGTGTTTTACCCAACTTCCAAATTTTGGGGATTTTATCAACACCATTCATTGGGTGTCTAGCTTCGGTTAGCTCCTTCCAAATGGGGGTAGTCTTAGCATACTTTTCTACTCCTTCCGTATTTGGCTCGGGTAGTTGGATAAGTTTTTCCTATCACACACCTCACATTCTAGTCTCTTTGGGGTGTGTATTTTTAAATTAGGATTATCCATTCTCGTCCTCGAATGCATTCAAAAGTGTTTTTACTTTGGGTTTTTCTCTTAATTTTCATCCTTCCCTCTTTGTGTATATGTGTTGATAGTTGAACATATACTCGGGTTACTGCTCCCCCCCCCCCAAATTGTTTCTTTTCCCTGATACATATCTCCAAAAGTGGGGTGTGTGTTTCTATCAGTAGGAGGCTTCAGGATAATGGTCTACATTCAAAAGTTCTTATCCCCTTCACACCCGGGAACTTCTGCCAGTTGAAGGTGCTTCTTCTTCTTGTCCGGTTCGACTAATCCTGTTTATTTTTGATGGTAGTGTCTTATATCACTCACCAAGGGGACACTCCTTTTTGTTTCCTTTGAGGTAAACAGTGGATTTTCTCCTTTGAACCCACAAGCTTGACATACATCTCTTGAAGGGTAATGTTCCATGTGCTTTGGCCTTGTTGCTAATTGACTTTCCATTCCTGACACACTTTCTCCCAAGGAGTAACCTATCAATCCTCCTAATTTTTGGTGGCTCTGCCTTCTGTGGGGTACTCCTCCATGTGAAGTTATTGAATCTTTTATCACTTCCCAGTTAGTTACCTCTTTTGTTTGTATTCTTTGGTTCATCATCCACTTGCCCTGGCTGTCATTAAGTTCAGACAAGTTTACATTAGTTTTTCTTATTCCATCATTCTTCTTTCCCAAAATTTTGTGCATCCATGTCACCCCGGTTCAGATCTTTCTGATTTATCTTTCCTGGCCATCACTACTTGGGTTTTCTCAGCTGTTTCAGCTCTGTTTGTTTTTTTTTATTCTGGCTCAATTTTGTTAACCTTTAGTTGCTCATGTGGTATATTTCTTTCAACTTTTTCGTTTCTTACCATCTTCCACATTTTCTCTTGGTGGGATACAGATTGTCTTCTCTGTCCATTACACGTTGTGGGTTACTTCATTGTATTCAATGCTTCTTTCTGTTGAATCCATTTCCCACATTTCCTCCCTTTACTCCACTTCTTTGTCTGTGACTTTTTCCTTTAAAGGAGATAGCTGTCCATCCCTGCCATTTCTTGTATTGACCAAATCTGTATGATCTGCTTTTCAAAATAGAGTTTCTCCACCATGCTTTCTCCCCCCATTTCTTCTAGTGGAGTTTGAGAGTCCTTATCACTTTCAAGTTCCAAGCCGCTGGGGTGGTGGAACATGGAGGCACCCTCCTGAATGTGTTAATAAGAGACAAATAAGATATATATAAATGACTATAAAACCATTCAGTTCAGAGTTGAACAGTGGTGTTCTGCTGGTGTAGATGATGAGATATTGTCCACTATGTAACATTGGAGTGAGCCGTCAAAATTATAGTCCACCCTTTCAATGGGGTCCCTCATGCTACCCCCCCCCTCACACTTGTATCACAGATATCTCTATTCCCTCACTAATTTATTCTCTTGTTACTCCATCCATGATGTGGGTCATGGTGGAGGTATTTTTAATTGACTATGGTTCTTCCCCTTATGCTATTTCATGTTGCTAATTATTCTGAAGATGTTTGTGTGCTTAGGGCAGTTCTGGTCATTATATATTTAAGTGAGATGTTTTACACTGCACAGACATCTTTTCGATGCCGGATGTCGGGTTCCCTGATCGATCATTCAATTTTTCACATTGTTATCATGCCCACTCATGGGCCAGGGGGTACAAGATTCCCTCCGGTCTTATGAACTTGACGCGAAGAGGGTATGGTCCTTTTTCCTACCCCCACCAGATGGCTGGGTTTTGAATTGTTGTAGACTTGCCACCAGTATGATCCTCTTTCCTACACCCACTTGGATGTTGGTACCTGGTGGCTGGATTTTGGATTGTAATTGAGTTACTGATGTTATGATTCTCATCCTACCCCCGTATGGATGTCGGTTCCCAGTGGCATGGGTTTTGGATATAGCTGACTTGCCGTGTATGGTCTGTCACACCCTAGCCACCCTACACATCCTTTGATCTTACCCACTTTTATGTTTTCTGGGATTGAGTTTAACAAATAATGTGTGGTTCAGATCACTATCCTGCTATAGTTCTCTCCCATTTGAATGTGTTCTTTCATCTTTCCACCCATATATGCAACATCTTTCCACAATGGGCAAAGAGTATACCTGGTTCAGAAGTGGTGTGGTCTCCCACGTATTATCATCGACTCAGAAGATATCCTTTTGGGGAGTGTCCTTTGGATGCTTTCAACATGAGTTTCTAACTATTTATGTGAGAGGAGGTAATATACCATATTAGAAGTTATTATTTTCCTATACTGAAAATGTATTTCCGATAGGTACTTGTCTCCTCTCACACTTCCCACTTTTCCTCCCCATTGAAAACCGGTGCTTCCAGTTTCTACCAACACTCGAAGTGATAGTTTGGTAGAATTGAATAGAGGGAGTCACATGTGTCAAGGGTGTGTGTTGTGCTCTTATTGGTGGAGGGTTGTTGCATGATAATTTGCATGCAAAATGCATTGGAATTACTCAACTCCAAATGAGTGGGAGTTTCAAGGCTTGTGGCAAGCACAAACATTTTTTTTGCATATAGAGGGTGGCATTGAACGAGAATAGCTATTTATGTGAGAGGAGGTAAGTACCTATCACAAATATGTTTTCAGTATAGGAAAATTATAACTTTTGAAAAAATTTTAGTGAACTTTTAAGTGTTCACGTCACTAAGTAAGGGAAATAGAAAATACCTAGTATGATTGCACACTACATTTCAACATACAACTAACTGTTTAAAGTTGAGACTCTTTAATAGTTTTTTTTTAACTGTAAGACACATTTTACATCCTTCTCAATGCAAAAACTTTGCACATTGCATTTTTGTTTCATTCTAAAACAAAAAGAACAATTTCTTTCATTTCTTTTCATAGGAATCTTGATCTTTTGCAAAATGTCACCTGGATAGACAGTTTATTTTATAATGAAAATCTACCTTAGATGGTATAAATTAAAAGCAGCAAAATGGTTTTCTTCTTAAATTTTCATATTCATGGATAACTCGAAGGCATTCAAAGAAACTTAATTTACTTAAATGAGATCTTAAATACTACAGATGTTTTTTATATGTGACTATACTATTATTCTCTGACAGGTGATCTGGCTTTTAACATATGATGATGATAAGTCATCCTTAGCCAAAGCTGTGGATAAATATTGTATTGGAGTTCCACCCATTCAGTGGTTACCATGGATACCACAACTGCTGACTTGTCTTGTTCGGAGCGAGGGGCAACAAATCTTGAATTTGCTAAGTCAAGTTGGCAAAGTTTTTCCTCAAGCCGTTTACTTTCCTATTCGTACCTTATACCTAACACTGAAGATAGAACAGAGAGAAAGATGTAAGTTATGTAAATTATCATGATGTATTGACAAAATTTGACTGTGTTTATGGGGGTATGTAGCTATCAAATAAAATGGTTAATATATTAGTAAATATGAAAAATTTTAATATACTATATGTTTGCAGATGATATAAGCACAATAATTTGCAAATTAAATATATCATACATCATTTAATATAGAAGTCAAAAATAAGTTACCTATATTCAATATTTAGGTTTGTCAAATTTTCTATTTAATTTTTAGTTGTTACAATAATATGTTAATTAGTAAATATAATAAAGCCCCCATAATGAGTGGTAATATCTGCTTAAAACTGAGCACAAAATTAACTCTCTTGCTAAGGGCATCCTTTTCTGTACATGTCACAAAGTTTTAATGAGTTACATTCAAAATTTAAATAAACTATTTTATTATCATGGTGTACGAGTGACTTAAAGAACATCCCTGAGTCAGAGATCCTTGCTGGTTTCTCCAGCCAAAAAGTTTCAGCAGTGTGAAGGATCTCAACTCGTCAAGATAGAATTATGGTACCAACCAGTGTTCTTATACTGATGTTTACATCTCCACGTCCACCTGCTTCAGACAAGGCAGGGTATTCAAACTGTCAGGTATGGCCATATATTCCCAACACTCCCAGATGTTTCCAGTGTCAGTAGTTTAAACACTCAAAGATATCCTGTCATAGTTCTTTAATGTGTGCTCATTGTGGTGGCAAAGACCATGATCCCTATGAGTGTGAGCTGGATCCTTGCTGTGTGAACTATAAGGGCTCCCACCCCTTATACTTCCAATCTTGCCCTAAATGAATTTAGGAGAAAGAGGTACAGCATCTGTGAACTGTGAACAATCTTTCTTTTCCTGAGGCTCGAAAAACATTGTCCCCAACTCCATCTCGGACTTATGCTGCTGCACTACATTCCACAGCTACAGTGTGGGAGTGCAAACAGAAGTTTGTGTGCCTCTGACAGAATCATTTTATCAGCATCTGAAGAGCCTTTTGCCCTCTATGGATAAGTGAGTAGATAAGTCTTCATCTACTCTTGTCTCTGTCCCCATCAATGCTTCCAGTGACTGCCTGGATCCATCTTTTATGGCCCTGCAGTGCAGAGCGATTATTTGTTCACACCCTCAGTCATTGGTATCAGCTTTTACAGATAGAGATCTGCCTAATCGACCTAGGGCAGGATACATGGAGGTTGACAAACCCCCATCTAATAAAGAAAAATGGCATGGTTGTAAACAGAAGAGTTCTCCTCCACCTAAATAAATATGGCTACATTGATACAGGGGAACTGTCATGGTTTTCATTCTAAATTAGATGACATTAATGCCTTGATCAATCACTATCATCCTGTGTGTCTCTCATTACAGGAAACATTTCTGAAACTTGCCAATATGGTCACCCTTCATCACTTTTCTTTATACCAGAATAACAAGTTGAGTGATAGACAAGTTCAAGGAGGGGGTGGCATTGCTGGTTGATCAGCATGCACCTACCTTGTCTGTGCCACTCCATACACCCTTGGAAGCAGTCACCATCACTATTTCCTTGGGTCGTACCATCAATGTTTGTTCTATCTACCTGTCTGCCAGAGAGACCTATGGTCAATCAGACCTTGATGCTCTCATCAAACAGTTGCTGTCTCCCTTTTTCCTTCTTGGAGACTTTAATGGGCACAATCTCCTTTGGGGTGGTGCCGATGTTGATGGGACGTTTGGTCTTGGATCACAACCTGTCTCTCTTTAACCCTTGTGCTTTTACTTACTTTCATGCACCCAGTCAGTCTTTTACTGCTATCAATCTATTTATCTGTTTTCCTTCACTTTTCTCTCATTGTTCTTGGAAGGTTGACAGTGACCCACAGGGCAGTGATCATTTTCCCATCATTTTGAGGGAGGTTGGACGTGGTCGATACCAACAGACCAGAGTGTCACGGTGGAAGTTGGACAAAGCTGTCTTTCACTGCTCTCTTGGAACTTGATCCTGCTGTCATCTATCTGCCATCTATAGAAGACTGTGTGGAAGCAGTGACTGACTGTATCATAGAGGCTGCTGTTCATTTTATCACAAATGCCTCGACACATTTTCCACAGTATCCTCATCCATGGTGGAATTCTGCCTGCCAATGGGCATGGAATGTTCAAAAACAGGCCTGGGATATCCTCCGACAGTATCCCTCTCTTTCTAACCATGTACTTTATCTGTGGGCCTGAACCCACGCTTGGCAGGTCAGGCGTCAAAGCCAGAAGGAATCTTGGATTAACTTCACCTCCAGCATCTCTTCTACCACCAGTTCCAAAGTCATCTGGGAGATGATTAGGAAAGTTAGTGGGAAGTATGCTTCCCATCCCCTTTCCATCTTGCTCTCAGACAGCCAAAAAGTTGCTGATATACAAGACATTGCTTATGCTCTTGGGGAGCCTTTCTCCTATTACTCCAGCACTTCTGTTTCCTCCCCTGCCTTCTTGGCCATCAAGTCTTGGGCAGAGCGATCACCTCTTTCTTTTTGAACCAATTGTCTTTACACTGGTGGAAATTAAACTTGTTCTTCATCAGTCCGGCAATACATCAGTTGGACCCAATGATATCCACTACGAGATGCTGCACCACATTTCTCCTGTCTCTCTTGCTATTCTTCTGGTACTTTATAACGGGATCTGGCAAGAGAACATTTTATCAGATGCTTGGTGCCATGCTATTGTTATACCTTTTTCTAAGCCTGCGAAGGATCCCAAGATTCTTTCTAACTATCATCCAATTGCTTTGACTAGCTGTCTCTGTAAGGTTTTGGAGAGTATGGTTAATGAACATCTCGTTTTTGGTTCCGGTAATCAAACAACCTCTTCTTGCCCACCCAGTGTGGTTTCCGTCAACAGTGCTCCACTGTGGGCCACCTGATTTGCCTTGAGACCTTAATCAGGGAATCCTTCCTCAAGAGAGTACATCTTGTTTCTATCTTTTTTGATCTTGAGAAGGCTTATGACACTACCTGGAGGTATGTTATTTTGCGGGACCTCCACTCATGGGTTGCATGGCCATTTTTATTTGTAACTTTTTACTTGACCAGCGATTCCAATTCCGTGTAGGTTCAACCCTTTCTCGTTCTTTCACACAGGAACTTGGAGTCCCTCAGGACGGTGTCTTGAGTGTTACACTTTTTAGTACCAACATAAATGCTATAACTCACCTACTCCCTTCTACAGTTCCAAACTGGCTCCATGTCAACGATTTTCAAATCTCATGTCAGTCGTCAAACATAAGGTTTATTGAGCAGCAGCTTCAGACTGCTCTCAATAGAATGTTGGAGTGGACCACAGCAAATGGTTTTACCCTTTCTTTTTCCAAAACCATTTGCATACACTTTTGCTGCCAACGGGGATTGCATCCCAATCCCGAGCTCTGTCTTGGTGATGTTGCTCTTCCCGTGGTTCCTAAGGCTAAGTTTCTGGGACTTATATTTGACCATAAGCTCACTTTCGTATCACACATTAAGCAGCTATGTGTCAAGTGTACAAAGACAGTAAACATCCTCCAGGTCCTTTCTTCCATCTCTTGGGGAGCAGATTGTTGTTCTATGCTAAAAATCTATTGTTCCCCTATAAGATGCAAACTGGACTATGAGTCTATGGTTTGGCTAGGGCCTCTGCCTTGAAGTTGCTGGATGCTATTCACCATCAGGAGCTTCATCTCTGCATTGGGGCTTTCTGCACTTCTCTGGTCCAGAGTCTGTGCACTGAGGACTATGAACCTCCTCTTCACCTCCGCCGTTTGCAACTTTCTCTGCAATATGCTATCAAGCTTCGATCCTTACCACAGCATCTCACTTGGGGTTGTGTCTTCCTCCCTCAATGTGCTATGCTTTTTCATCACAGATGGTCTTCTATTCCTACTTTTGCCCTTCGCATCCAGGAGCAGCTGGCTGAATTTGATCTGTCATTGGATGACACTGCTGTTTCCAGTGGTCAGCCCATTCCGCCATGGCTTGTAACCCCCCCCCCCCTGTGATCTTTCTCTAAATCATCTGAGGAAGGCGGATACTCCCCTTGGAAGTACCGTCTTCTCTTTGCTGAACATCTTTCGAACCATTCTTCTGTATCCATTCATACGGATGGTTTGAAATCAGATGATTGCGTGGGTTCTGCCATGGTCTGTTCTGACTCGGTGGCTGCTCATAGAATCCCCTCTACAGCTTCTGTGTTCACTGCCAAGTTGTATGCCATTTCTCTTGCCCTGGATCATGTATAAGCTGAACAGTACACTGATTGTACTATTTACACTGACTCTCTTGGCTCTCTATAGGCCCTGGAATCGTTTAACATTAGTTCTCACCCTGTTTTCGTCTATATTCTCCATCGACTGGCCCATTTTTTCTTTTTCTCCCATTTCTATTCAGTTTTTCTGGATACCTGGTCATATTAGTATTCATGGGAACGAGCTTGCTGACACCACAGCTACATCTGTCTGTTCTGGTGTCATCATGGCTGTGCCCGTGCCATACATGGACTAAGGTCCTGTATTCAAAGCTCGGCTTCACACCAGTTTGTAGTCGGCTTGGGGTGAACAACGTCATAACAAACTTTTCCAAATTAAACCTATGGTTTCTCCTTGGCCGTTTTGTTTCCCTATGGATTGTAAGGAGGAAGTTGCTTTGGCATGGCTATGCATTGGTCACAGTTTTTTAACTCATCGTTTTCTTTTATCTGGTTAGGACCCACCAAAGTGTTGCCATTGTGACACTCAAGTCCCAATTGCCCATATTTTACTGTCATGTTGTCATTATGAACATGAGTGACGGCACCATTTTGGACATGTAATCTCTAAAGGTTTACCTTTGACATTGGACAGTGTTATTAGTGGTGGTGACACTGTACAACTGGATTGTGTTTTTAGCTTTTTCAGGCCATTGGCCTTTTTAGATGTATTTAATATTTTAGCTGTTTTTTATACATTGTTTCCTTTTACAATGATTTATTTTTACCTTTTTTAGCCATTTTCTCGTGATGTTTTTACTCATTTGGTGCAGATAGCCAAGTTGCTTTGCACCAGTAAACACCAAACAACAACAACAACAGCTATCATGGACAAAGCAGCTAACAATACTACAAGTAATTACATCTGCCCGATGACTACAACTGAGCACCAATTTCAAAATAACTATTGGTTGGATTATAATGTAAAATGAACCCTTTCTAATGACTATATACATGTGTCTAGTAAATACATGTGACTTGTAAAGTTCAAGGAATAGTGTAGAAGATGGGTGTGGAACCTGTCAGGGGTTGGAAAAATTTATCTCTTATTTCAACAGAACTCAGAACCTTGGAACATATGTGTTGATAGGGTAAGTAAATATACTTGCTTTCTAGACATACATCTACCAGACTGGAGTTATTTTATTCAAGATAGAGAGTGCCAAAATTAAGATTTTTTGTAGCTCATGGATCATGTGACAACAAAACTGAAGTTGAAGTATTTTTTTAATGTTTCTTTTGAAACAAAGAAACTAAAACTTAGATAACATAAATCAAAAACTTTGAATTATAACATACATTATAATGTTAATTTCATTGATATTCATTGATAGTAAAATTGTTTAGATAAATTTTGAATGTAACTCAGTGACTTGCATAGAAAGGGATTTAAAGGGGTAGCCATTGTGAAAGGGTTAAAAAGTATGTTTCATTTTGTATGTTAAGTTTATTTTGAAAGGGTTTTTATTTTTAATTATTTGTGTTAATGTTAAAGGCCTATTTTGCATTGTGAATTTTAGTATGTTTTGTTGGTTTATTTTGTTTCAGTGTTAAAGGGTGTTTTATGCTGTCTCTTTTTTATTTTTATGTAATGTGCTTTAAGGGTTTGATATGTAACTTCATTGTTAACAAGTAGTTTTGTGATTGTGACTTACCAAAAGTTCTATGCACTATTGAATCTTTGTTAAAAGATTTCCTTTTTTGTTATGTAATTGTCAAAATTATTAATTGTTAAATGGCATTTATTATATATTTTGTCATAATGTTGATATATACATGATCTTTGTTAAAGGATTTGATTTAAAATCTTTGATAACATGAATGACTAAGCAACTGCTTCTTCATTAAAGATTTGTGTTGTCTGCATTGCCATGTGTGTTTATAGAGACAAGAGAAGGTTATATTCTGTAATTAGTGATAGCTAAAATGGCCTGAAAATAATGAGAGTAGGAAAACTGTTGTATGCAAAAATGCCATGCATTTCCTACCCCTGTGTTAATATAGAAAGTTTGAATATCTAATTTAGGTGTATGTGGTTTTCTTGTATAATATTAGTAAATAAAGTCATTAAGTTCCTTTTTCTCTCACTAGTTATTGTTCTGTGTCATTCACCTGAGGTATAACCTTTGCCTTCTTATGGGAAAGCTTTCTGCAAAATTGTGTGTAGTGTTTGAAAGTAGACAACAACCCTTTGCTCTGGCTGGTCAGGTGTTGCCTCAAGATTTTGGCCTCCTTTATTTTCAGTGGGAAGGAGCAATAATCACATAGGTAGTGCTGTCACCCTGAAAATGTGTAACATTGTTCTTTCATTTATATAATGCTATGTTTTCTCAATCTGTGATACAGATTTTAAACTGTATACACAACTTCAGGATATTTTGCTAAATATCACGAGCTTTGAAAAATTCTTCAGTGAAGGTACTGTCTAATAAACACACACACACAAACTATTTGATTGTGTTATTTAATGAAGGATTGTTTAATTGTGTTTTATATATGTCTCTCTTTTTTTTCTTTTTCTAACCCCAGTCAGCTTCAGATAATTCAGAATTTGCAATATATTTCCTGATTGGATCTCCTGTTATTCTGGGGGAAATCAGATTTACCTGAGAATACCACACACTCAACACTTTTTACATTAACCCATTAACTGCAGCAGGAGCAGCTCAGTTGCCATTTTTTTAATCACAGATAAAACTGGGTTGCCATCAATCACAATAAAACGGTAATTTTTGTCATTCGCATAGAGTTATAGTTATATATTTGTCATCTGCAGTTAATGGGTTAATGAAGTATGCCCAGCCTCAAAAATGAAAAATTATTATTGTATAATGCGATTAAAGAACATATAACTTTTGTTAATCTTTTAAAATCATCACGAAAGATGTTTCTCCTTTTTATCAAGAAATTTCCTGGAAACTCTTGGAAAAAGTTTCATTTTTAAGCATGGGTAACCTTGAAAAACTGTGTTTATTTCGTTATTACAGTTAAAAGTGATGTTACTGGAACCTCAGAAATCAAAAGCAATGGAACCACTACTACTCAAACAACAGCCATTACATCAAGCCCAGCCCTGTCTACATCTGGAGTTGATAGTGGTAGCTCAGCTCCATCTCCATGTGGTGGAGGAAGCACAGGTGAATAGGTTTATATATCCAAATTGTTTAATGCATTGACAGCTAGTTTATCATATCTAAAAGTAATGATGTATGACCAGTGCCAAAAAAATGATGAACTTCGGGCCTTTGTTTTATTCATATTTAATTTTTCATAGGTGTAAAATACAATTGGCAATATATATTAAATCACAACCAATGAAATGATTTCCTGTATATAGTTCTCATTTGCATATTTTTAGTCTCTCTCAACAAAAGATAACTTCGTTAGACTAATTGGGATACTTTGAAGGCAAAGTATTAATTTAAATGTAATTTATGTAAATTTCAAGAAAAACCTTTTTGCATAATTTTAATTTTAAATTATTAATTTGGCCAACTAAAGGTGTGATAAAATAAAAATGTTTATAATAGGATTGAACCTATAACTTTAAAATTGCAAACACTCAGGAATTAAAGCTCAATTGACAAAAAATATTTTGAAATTAAAAAATGATATTCAAGAACTAAAAATAGTCAGCAGATTTCATGTCTAAAAAATTGGATAAACATTTAATAACTATGACTGCAATAACATAAGAAATTAAGGAGCTTAAAAGTAAGAATTTGAAAATAGAAAAGGTGGATGTTAAAATGAAAGGAGAGCTAGAGAAGGCAGAACAACACATAAGTGACCTGGAATTAGTATGTAGAAGAGTCATTCTTAAAGTAGTAGTAATTCCAGAAAGTCAAGATGAAAATCTATATGAGGTCATGAAGAAGATTACTGATCTTGTGAAAGTATAAATTGTGGAGGAAGATATTCAGGAGCTACATAGACTACCAACAATAAAAAAGATGAAAGATAATACTAGTAGTTGTAAAGTTTAAAAATATATTTATAAGCGAGAAATGGCTGAAAGAATGGTAAGATATATCCAAAAAGTTTAAGATTAGAGGCTATTGATAAAACCTTTAAAAAAATAAAGTACATTTCATTAAACATTTACCACCATTAACAAAACGTTTTGTATGTAGTAAAAGAGGAATTAAATTTTAAGATTACTTGGGTAGAAAAATGGAAAAGTGTTCATGAGAAAACTGGAAAGTAGCAAGTTGTGGGGAATAAGAAATGAAGAAAAACTGTAAAATATACAGAGGCAGAATAGTAAAATATGGAAAATAGCAAGCTATGGAGAATAAGAAATGAAGAGCTGGAAAATATAAGGATGCAGAATGTTTAATTTGATATGGAAAATAGAAAGGCACAGAGAATAGATATGAGGAAGAACTGGAAAACAGCAAAGTATGGAGAATAAATGAATTGCAAAAGTGGTGAATTAGATATAGAAAATAGAAAGGTATTGAGAATAAGAAATGAAGAACTAGAAAAGATAAAGGTGAAGTGATTGAATGTTTTCTTTTTTTATGTAGGAATAATATACAAATTTATTTTATTTATGTTGAAAATAAATGAATTTCAAGCTTTTAAAAGTATTATATGTAATAATGTTTCATATTTAAAAAGTCTTTGCTAAACATGTGGTACAGATTTTAATACACTACACTTAAATAGAAGTTTAGGAGAAACATTTGAGCTAGATGAAAATGTAGAAGTAGTAATATGGGTTAAAGATGAAGAAACACATATTTTTTACTTAAATGTAAATGGATTGTATGACAAATGTAGATAATGTAATAAAGCAGGTGGTATTGTTGTTTGCATAAAAAGTTGTTCAAATCAGTTAATAAAATATTCAACTATAGCAAACTAGTTTAATCAGCATTTTATAAGTGTTGCTAAAAAAATTATTGGTAAACAACATAAAATTATAGACTGTGTGTGAAAATTCATGCAATCCAAACCCTAAGGCAATATTTTTATACCAAACAAGGTATAATGAAATGAAAAATTATAGTAAATAGTTTTTAAAAAAGGAACAAATAGGTATAGTACTGATAATTTAAAAATTGAAATTATATAAAAAAATATAGATATTGATAAATTGTTATTACATATTTACAAGGTGGTTAGGGCACTCGACTCGCAATCTGAGAGTCGCAGGTTCGAATCCACGTTCCACCAAACATGCTTGCCCTTTAAGCCATGGGGGCGTTATAATGTGACGGTCAATCCCACTATTCGTTGGTAAAAGAGTAGCCCAAGAGTTGGCGGTGGGTGGTGATGACTAGCTGCCTTCCCTCTAGTCTTACATTGCTAAATTAGGGACGGCTAGTGCAGATAGCCCTCATGTTGCTTTGCGCAAAATTCAAAACAAACAAACATATTTACAATATATCTTCCAATGTATAATTTTTCCTAGGAACTTCCATATAGCACAGATACAAAAGAAGACATGATTTCTTTAAATAGTGAGAATATTGAAAAATTTATAAACTCATGTGAATTGAGTAACTTGTATTTAAATATTTCAAAGACAACATATACACTTTAAGTTAAAGGGTGAAGAAACTGAAAATTATATTATTGTTAAAAGAGTTATAATCTGTGTTAAATTTATCACTAGAATCTCAACAAACCCAGCTACCCCAACAGCAACAACAATCTGGAGAATCAGGGCCAATACGGGCAACTCCTTCAATGTGGAGGTGTAGTCGAATAATGCATATGCAGCGAGAACTCCACCCTACAGTCTTGTCCTCATTGGAAGGAATTGTGGACCAGGTGGGTATTAACCCTCTGGATTTGAGTAACTCAAAGTGTGCATGTCATGATCTTTTTTTTTTTTTTACAGTGTAACATTGAGACTTTAATTCAACTACTTTATTAGCAATGTGTATCACAAATCTTGGCATCAAAACATAATTACTAAATCAAATATTGATAATGTACAAGATTTAATTTCAAAAGGGAATGTTTAAATAAATTCTCAATATTTACTTCTGGATCACGTGACACTTATCACTCCAAACTGCCCATTTTAGATATTTTTACTACCCTAATATGATGTTCGGGGATTAACATAAATTATGCTTTTATAGTATAGGTAATGCTAAGATATAAACTAAATTTTATAGCCCCATTATTTTTGTTTTATTGAGATATAAACCAGAAAGTCAAACCCATATGTCATACACTCCTGTTATATGTTGTCTTTCAAAAAATATCATTAATTCTCTCCAATATTTGCTATTGAATTATTCATAACTAATAGAAAAATAAAATTTCAAATTACTTATATCAGTATAAATCTAGCTCATTCTTACAATAGGTTTTGAATTATTGGGCCTACAGATTCATTTTTGCTATTTCTGATTTCACCTGAACTAGGTAACGGAATTATTTTAATCCACTTATAGCTTGCTTAGAAAGCCAGTTAAAATATAATAGTTATAGAACATTATATTCTTTCTACATGATATTATTTGCTTTCCAAATGGTACATTTGAAAGAAATGAAAATTCAGTAAAGTAGTGACATCAATCCAACTAAAAAGTAGGGTTACTTTTTACTGAGACTTTGTCTGCAGAAAAGCACAAGACCCACATATGAGTACTGAATTTCTTGCTTTTATGTATACCTTTTATTTATTGCTATAAAAGTAGCTCAAATTTAAAAACTATAAACATTAAATAAAAGACATTTCTCAGTGAGGTATGCACATGAGCTGGTCATGCACTATGTAATTCAATACTTTGTTTACTGCAGGTTGAGTTGTTATACCCTGTACAAAAAGTTATAAAATTAAATTAAAACTGCTGTAAACTGTTATAAATCTGAGGCTGTTTATGATAAATTATTGTAATTTTTTTGTTAGAATCTACAATAATTCTAGAAATAAAAAAATAGTAATTTAGATTGATTTATTTGATTCATTTTTTTCTGGTGGTTACAAAGTTGGTTAAATGGACCAAGCCTGTATAGTGTTGGGGTAAAGAATATAACTGATAAAATATAAAGTTTCACTGAAAAATAAACTTATGATATTCATTTAGTGGGTTCTAGAAGTTGTGCAAATGAAATTTTAAAACTGCTAGATGAAAAACAGTATTTTTAATCTTAACATGAAAATTATCTTGCACTCAGACTCTGAATCCATAAATTCAAAGACAAATCATTAGTAAAAATACTTAACTAAATATCTGTTTTTGTGCTTACAAAAGACTTGTAATATTTACTAAAAGCTTGTCAAGTTTTATGAAGATATGTGCTACTTAAAGCTTTTAACACTCATGGTCACATAGTGGTTGTGAGGTTAGTTAAAATCTTCAAGCCTGTATACAGAGGGTTAAACAATAACATGCATATACCATCTGTATATATGTTATTGTTTAATGCCAATTTTATACAGATTGTTTTGTTTCCAAAATCAATCAGTAGTTTTTTTTGATAAATTAAAAACACATGTATAATATCACCAAGACTACTTTAAGACAGACTTTGAAATTACAGTTTTGTTTATAAAAAGTTTAAAACTACTGATTATCTATGAGAATCAGCCAGCAAAAACAAAGACTTTTCACAACTTCTGGTGGAAAACAACTTTAATAAGTCTAAACTATGTTTAGAACTGGTATATAATTTTCCATTTATCAATAAAACAACTTAAATATAAAATATGTATTATAGTTCCTAAATATTTCTCATTAGGTTTAAAGATAACTTGGTTTTATACTGATTCAAGTACTGGTATTTGTGATTTAGCAAACAGGTTATCATGTAGCATGTCCTAATAAAAAATATGGACAACAAATATCATTTAGTCTTTCAAAGTAGTCCTTATGCTAACACCATCAAGAAAAATAAAAATTTAAACCTAACCTTTATCTTTTTCTATGTTGACCAACCTTATAACAACCAGTCAACCATGAAAGTTATCCATATTATAACTTTTAATGAGGTAATGGTATCTTCATAAAATTTGGCAAGCTCTTAATAATCATTGCAAATCTTTTCTACACAAAAAATAAAAGTTTTTAATTAAGTATTTTTATTAAAGATTTGTTTGTGAATATATGGGGGTCAGAGTGTTGATTAATCTGAGTGCAAGGTGATATTCACATTAAAAATACTATTATTCATCTTACAGTTTCAGATTTCATTTGCATAATATCTGAATGAATATCAAACTTTTTACTTCTCTAAAACTTTATATTATTATCTGTGGTTTTCTCTACCCTAACTCTATGCAGAGTCGGTCCTTTTCACCAACCTTGTAACCACTACAAAAGTATGAAATAAATCTAAATTATCCTTTTCTTCCTTTCTAAAATGACTGCTGTCAGGTTTTTATATTTAGGCTGGATTCTTTACAGTAGGTGTCTGTGACTTGTTGGCGATAAATTTCAGCAATAAATAGACAGCACACAATCCCCTTTTTTAAAAATATTATATATTCAAAACAAGTTAAACATATGTACAAAAAGTTCCTTACACAATTGGTTACCACATTTGAATCTAGAGCTTTAAATAATTCTCTTTTTTTTTGTCAAAAGTTCACACAGACTGATTCAATTAGTTTAGAACCCAACTGAATTATTTATTCTCTCCTCTGTTACCACAATACAATCAGTGATAAATTCACTTACATTACACTATGGTTACCACAGTTGTATCCAGAGATTTAAATAATTGTCTCCTTTTCATCAAAGCCCACACAAGCAGGTTAATTTACTTTAGAACATCCTTTGACAAGACAAGTTATTCTTCATTATCTCTGTTGTTACAATACAAACTGTGAAATGTTCACTTTAGAAATCACTCATTACTGCTAAACTGATAATCATGCAATCTAACTTCACTTTTACTTTCACTAACTTTCTTCATTTTCTCCGTATCCGCACATATTTATAACATGGAACAAAAAAATCTAGAAACATCTAGCCCCCTAGTAACAACAATATTAAACATAATGAGAAAGACTTAGAAGCTTTGAGTAATATGACATCAACAATATTACAAAAGCCTAGTACAACAATTAAACTACATACACAACGTGTTACTCATACAGAGTTACATAATGGAACTTGTCATAATTATTGCTTTAAAAATAATCAACTTTTAACACTTTTGATTTAAAAACTAAATAGTTATTAAATATTAAGTCACTAAATAAATTAAATAATAACTTAAACTAAACAGTCTTGTATATCCAACAACTGCAGATTGTAACAGAAAACTACAATTGTTTATTCTAAATAGCTAAAGGCTCGTAGCAGTCTACATATTTTTGTACTCAATTTTATTGTTTTATTGCCCTTTGAACTGTGTCTACCAATAATCTTTTGACATAAGCTGTAACTCACTTGATGAATATATAGCTCAACTTACCATATTGAATGACTTAAAGCACAAGGTACTTGCAAGCATACTTTGTGGGGAAAGATTTTTTTTTCATTATCCTACCTAATCTAACCTAGTATTTTTCTAATTTTTACATTTTAGGTACTTTTATAACAATTAATAAAAAACGTACATGCAAAACAAGAAATTTACTACTTATATTTGGCCTCTTGTTTTTTCATGCTGTCAGCCTGCCGATGAAACTTAAGACTACTTTTTTGTAATTGGTACTAGTTCATTAAATAATCTGTGTCTATAAATTCCTCCTAAAATTCTGTTATCTTTACTTCTGGCAACAGAGTACAATTTTATTGTCTTGAGTGACTTATCCATCACTATGTCAATGTTCTTTTTTTTAGTCCTTTTATTGAAATGGTTCCTATGTGTGATCCAAATTATGATAACTAGTTGCATTACTTTGAATTACTTTGGTAATTTGTTGTCCAGCTTAATACTTGAACCAAAACAATCCTAGTGCTTCAGTATCCTCAGTACATTTAGAAATATTGAAACGTTTATTGTCATCAGCTGTCGGCCTGCTGATGAAACTTAAGCCAACGTTTTTGTAATGGTAGTACTTGTACATTAAATAATTTTAATTGATTTGAAGAATAGAATGCACATAAGTACACAGAATAATAACATACACAAAACAAATAATGTCCCATAACTGTTATAAGTTAACTAACTTTAGGAATAAAGCATAAGTGTCTTAAGACAATTCCTTTTTCCTATTTGATCCAAACTAAATGATATCAACTTTCAATCTGTAAGCAAAATAACTTAACATCTCTGTTGAGAATAAGTTAGCATTATACATCATTCTGTAAATTAATACTTTATCTTTTTATTGGTTATAAAAATATAATAGAAAACATCAGAGAGAATTATTGGCAAATTGTGAAAGAGAGGATGTGACAGGTGAGTGTGGCAAGTGGGTTTGAGTTTCAAGCTTATGTCTCCATAGAAAAATAAAAAAGCTTTCAGGTTATAAAAGTGACTTTACTTTTGTAATATCTATGCTATAATAAATAATTTATGTGAAACTCAGAACATCAGAGAGGGGTGATGAAAAAAAAAAAGATGGGTGAGACATAGCAAACAATTGTCACAGTTCTCATACACGGGAAAATTGAGGATTTACTTAAATATTTCCCTATAATATTACGAAATTGAAAGCTATATAACATTAAAATTCAATTTATTAACTATGTTTTGATGATAAGTTTATTCATATACATTGATAATAAAGTAGTATAATTAAATTTTGAATGTAATTCTATAAAAGGTTGTGACATGTGCACTTTGACCTAATGAGAAGAGTTATTTTATAGGAAATCATTCAATTTCACTATTATTCTCCTGTAAAATGTTGGCTTCCA